GGCCGGAGAAGCGGTGCGTCGGTGCGCGCCCGGGATCCGAACCCGGGCCGCCAGCAGCGGAGCGCACGCACTTAACCGCTAAGCCACGGGGCCGGCCCTCTTGTTTTACTTTTTAAGTGGTTACTCTTACAACTACAATATTCATTTTTTTTCTCACAGTCTACTCAGAGTTTAAAATGCACCAGCTCATGTAAAATACCAGAACGTGCGTGGCCTAATTCTTTTTATCCCACTGTCCTTTGTGCTACTGTTGTCAAATATTTTAAATCTACATAACTATAAACCATACAATGCAATGTTGTAATTTTTGCATTAAATAGCCAGTAGTCTTTTAAATAAGCTAAGAGAAAAAAAAGAGAGATTTTTATATTTGCCATTTCCAGTGGCTGTTATTTCTTCCTATGGATCTGACTTACCATCTGGTGTCATTTCCCTTCAGCCTGAAAAGCTCTCTGGGACTGCTGCTGCTGAGTCCTCTCAGCTCTTGTTTTTCTAAAAATGTCATTACTTTATCTTCATAAATGAAAGATAAGTTTGGCAGACTGGCATTTTTTTGCTTCCAGCACTTGAAAGATACTGCTCCACTGTCTTCTGGCCTCCAGCGTCTCTGTGAGAAGTTAGCCATCACTCATGCTGTTCCCTATACGTAATGAGTCTATCATCTCTGGCTGCTTTCAAGACTTTTCTCTTGAACTTTGCTTTTCAGCAGTTTGACTATGATGTACCTAGACGTGCCTTTCTTTGTACTTATGGGTTTGCTAAAATTCTTGGATTTGTGAGTTGGTATGTTTTACCAAATCTGGGAAATTTACAGCCATTATTTCTGAAAATATCTTTTCTCTGCCCTCCCTCTCCCCTCCGCCCCTTTTTACAACTTCTGGGTCTCCAGTTAAACATATGTTAGATTGTTTGAATTTGTCTCTATGGTACTGAAACTGTGATCACATTTTCCCACTCCTTCTCTGTTCTTCTGATTGGTTAATTTGTTTTGTCATCCATCTAGTGGATTTTTCATTTTAGATATTATAGTTTTCAGTTTTAGCACTTTCATTTGTTTATTAATTTCCATTCTGTGGGAGATTCCCATCTGTAGTTAAGTAAATAAGACTACTTTTCCTTTAAACCTTTGAACATTTTTAAACTATCTGGTTTCTGTTATCTTCTCTGATGAGTATTAAAATATTGGCTAATTATCCTGAGACTGGTTTTACACATGGTTAGGGCAGGTCTATTTCAGTCTGCCTTTAGTCCCAGGACACGGTGGTCTCTACTCCTAAGGTATGGCGCTTCTGAGCTGCAATGGAAGCCCAACGTATTTACCAATCCCCTCTAACATGGCAGGACTGGACTCCAACTCCTAACTCCACCTTTCCTGTGATGAGCAGAAGCTCAATCTCTGCTCACTCTAGTCACTCCTCTAGTTGTTGCTTTCTGTTGGGTTCCTTAGTGTCTCCCGTGTGCTTTCACAATTTGAGGGTCAAGCAAAGACTTGAGGGGAATTTATAAGCAAATTCTGGGGCTTCCCTCCCTGTTGGATCCATCTTTTCTGAGATTTGCCTCCTCTTTTTCCAGCTGTTCTAACAGCCTTAAACTTTGTCCTCAAAATTGCCAGCTACAAAGACGGGCTTTCTGCTTGAGTCCTAGCTACCCTGTGCCACACGGACTGGGGAGCGCCCTCTGAAGAAAAGCTATAAAAATGTGAGTCTCACACAATGTAGCTCTCTTTTCAATCCCTGAATACATTTAGTAGCTTGGCAGGGCCTTCAGATAGTTGTTTTTTAATGTTTTGTCCAGAGTTTATATATAATTGTCATCTGTGGCAGGGTTAATCTGTTACAAGCCACTCCACCATTACTGATACTGAAACTCTTTCCATGTCCTTTTGGTGTAAAGAAGGTGGCAGCTTAAAAAGAGACTCAAAGGATGTCAGCACATCTCTGCTCCAAATCTGGCTTTAGATCAGGGGTCGGCAAACTTTTTCTGGAAAGGGCCAGGCAATAAATATTTTAGGCTTTGTGGGTCATATGATCTCTGTCACAAATACTCAACTCTACTACTGAAGAGTGCAAGTAGCCATAGACAATATGTAAACAAACAAACATGGTTGTGTTCCAATAAAACTTTATTTACAAAAACCAGCAGCAGGCTGGATCTGGCCCACAGACCACCGTGCTGACCCCAGCTCTAGATGATACTAAGCTGCCACACTTTTTCCTGATTTTAAACGTGAGAACAATTCCTTACATGACTACTGTGACGATAAAGGAGTCTGTGCCTTCTTGGTGCTCTGACCTCTGGAGGACCCATCAGGAGAAGGCACACTAAGATTCAGGGACATAAATCTTTCAGGACTGGACGCACTGTCTACTGGACTCTGGGTAAGAAGCGTTCTTTTATGTAACCACAGACAGACGGCAAGTATTTGGAATGCTGTTGCCACAGTTCTGGTGTATTTATGACAGGCCCTTGTGGTACTTATTTGTGCACGATGCTGGTCTCTCTCCACGCTACGGCAGGAGTCCTTGTCATGAAGGACGATTGGTGGGAAAAGGTCACTTAAACATGAAGTCCTTTAGTATAACAAATAGGGACAAAAAAGTCTGACAAGGGCTCTACCATAAGAAATTAAATTTAAAATTATGAAAACAAGTTTCATTTTATTTGATATTAGAAAAAATTTAAGTTTATTATTGCAACCAGGAGCTAGTTCCTCAATGAACACTGAATCAAAGTTGACTGATAACTTGACTGTGATTCTGATAAAACTGTATGCTAGCACAGTATGATATCTATCTTTCATTTCATGTTTGACTCTCCTAGTCCTATCATAAAAAGAAAATTTTTACAAAAATATTTGAGGACTCCATCAGTTTTCCCCAGGCCTCTCAACTCTTTGATACACAGATCACTATCTTCTGAAGGACTTATATCATCATCCTGATCAGTAGTTTTCTCTTCATTTAACAAGATCCCTACCATCAATTGCTTTGCATAACATTTGCAAAGTTCTCTAAAATCACTTTTGTTGACTTAATGACATCACTTTGCAATTAATTACAACTAGACCATCAGAAAGACAATCCATCTGTATATAGTCAAAACTATATACAGCAACAGAGGAGAGGGTCAAATGGGGAGGACATCTGAATGGTAAGGTAAGTCCATCAAAAAGGGTTTTTATCTTATGACTTTTGCTTCCATAATGAATCTCATTACTAGAGAGAACTGAATAATAAATATGCAAATACCAGAAATTTATAATTTGAAGCATGCAATACTCACATGGTAAAAGCAGGTAGACGATCTGTCCTTCCTTATTTGCGCCAAAGTAGGGCTGGCAATCCAATGACATAAATCCACTGGCATCAATATTGTGTGCCAGGGGCTGAGAGCACAGACATGAGGACAGTCCCTGCCCCCAAGGAGCTCACAGTCTAACAGAAGACAGACAAGTAAGGAAATAGGTGACAATCCCATGCATAAGGGCAATCAAAGACTGTTTAGGATACAAAGAAATACCCTGAAGAGTTCATTCACTAATTGGTGCAACCAATATCTGAGCATCAACTCTGTCAGGCACTGTGCTAGGCACTGGGAACACAGCAGTGAACAAGACACTGTGGTCCTAGCTCTCAAAGTTTACAGTCTGCAGGGAGAGACTGTCAATAAAGGTAAGGAGACAAGTAATTACAACTTGTAATAAGGATCCTGAGGAAAATGAATGAGGGGCAGTGATAGAGAATGAACCAGGTCCCTGCTTAGGTACAGGGGGTTAGGGAAAACTCTGAGGGTGTAACACTGAACCTGAGACCAAAAAGTTGGTAAGGAGTCAGCTGGCCATGTTCCCAGTGGAGAGAAGAGAGAGTTCCAGTAGAACAAACAATGTGTATGAAGGCGTGATGGGCAAGGACCTTGGAGTGTTTGAGGAACTGAATGGAGGCCAGTGGGCTGGAACTCAGAGGGTGAGAGGGAGACTAGACCAGGAGGCACGGAGGACAGGAGGTAGAGGAGGCCATGCAGGGCTTTGGAGGCCCCTGTTGAGAGTTTGGCTATTAGGAGAGCAGCAGTGGGAAGTTACTGAAGGGTATTAAGCAGGAAGATAATAGGGTCTGATTTGTGTTCAAAAAATTCCTCTGGGTCCTGCGAGGAGAAGTGACATAGGGTGGTGGGGCTGGGGAGACCAGTTAAATGCTAAAGGAATACTGGGGTGAGAGTTAAAGGTGGCTGAGAGCAGAGTGCTGGTAGTGGAGATGGAGAGATGTGAATGTATTTGAGATACATTTACAGGACACAGCTGTCAGGACATGCTGATGAAGCAAAGGTGGAGGGCTGAGGGAGCAGGAGGAATCAAAGACCACCTCCAGATTTGGGTTTGAGCAATGTGGGCACATGGCAATGTGGATACTTATCTGAGAATAGCAGGGATGGTTACGAAAGCCCCCCTGGAGGTGACATCAGAGGTGAGTTTTGAAGGCTGAATTCGAGTTTTCTTGGTTAAACGTGGGAGGGAGGGTATTCCAAGCAGAGGGAACAACGGTATATGGGTACGAGGGTAAGAAATTGTATGGCACGTTGGAGAACTATAAGCAGTTTGATCCTAGAGGATAAACTGGTGGGAGGAGGTGAAAATGGAGAGTCGGGCTGAGGCTGGCATAGTCAGGGCCTTAAAGGCCTTGCCCAGGACAAACTGGCAGTCAGAACAAGCTCACAGATGTGTCTTACATGATGCTCACAGTGTTTCAAACAACATGTGATTAGCTGTCAGAGGTTTAGCTTTTCCTAAACACTGTGATCTGGCAAACTTGGATGTGAGCAAGTACTTACCAGCTGATCCTTTCCTGACTGTCTCCCCCAACATGGGGTTCTACTGGGCAGTTCTCCTGACCTCTGCCTGGCTGCCTCACTCACATTCCTTGTGCCAGTCCCTGGCTAAGTGACTGTGCTTCAGGTAGGGGTGAGGCAGATTTGCATCTCAGAGCAACTATTCCTGGTGCAGAATCAATGAGAAGTAGGGAAACAAGAGGCAGGCAAACCAGCTAATTACAACCCTTAACAGAATCCTGCTATTATGGTAGCAATAAGGGAGAAGCATAAACCCTTGTGTTCTTTTTTTATGCACTGAAAAAAAGAGATGTTATACATCACTGTGTACACCAGGACAGGCTCTGATTCAAAGCATAATGGAATCTGTATTATAGTATGATTCTTTATGATGAGGGTTTTGCTGTATCATCAAATATATGGGTGGGGGGGTAACTGAAACTTGGGATTCAGTGAAAGGGTACAAATATTACTAGTATGAAGAGACACACGAATTCTTGGCTAATAGGACAGATGCCAGGGCTGTGTCTATAGATATATTCAGGAAGAGTCTGGGAAACGACACTTTTGAAGGATGGAGAGTGAGGGTTAGCAAACGTCTCACTGTCCTAAACGCTCCATTCTAGATGCACAACACAAACAAAGTATAAGGAGTGGGGAACGGGAGACTAAGCAGACGAATCTCAGATGAGTAACTGGACACAGGGCATGATATCCAGAGTTAAAAAAACAGAAGAAACCAGAGCAAACTTAAGACATTAAATCTGTACAAATGTATGGTGTCTGTGTCTAGGACAACAGTAATGGGTTGTTTCGTTTTCCTCCATTTGTCTGTGATGATTCTTGTCAGATTTTATACCACACACAGTATCTATGCTGTTTTAGATAAGACCGTGATGACAGACTATTTCTCCTGATTACTTCTGGTATACTTTTAAGAGCTTAAGATAGCACTGTGCATCCATCAGATGTTCTGTTTTGATATTACTGTTTGAAAACAAAATTAAACAGCAGCTGAATAACGGGGTGGCTGCCAGACACCTCGACAGGGAAATCAGACTTAGGGCCCAGAGTGAAAATGAGGCAGCAGGCAAGCATCTGTCCCCTCCCTGCCTTCTCAGCTCTGCCCAATTTGGGTGGGCTTCATCAAATCCCATTCTGCACCATGATGCCTCAGCCCAGGCCCTACTTCTCGTTCAGGCTCTTCCTTAAGCAGATAACCACCTCGGACAATTTTATCCTCAGGCATTTATTAAGTACCTATTGCATAGCACTGTGTTAGCTCATCCATTTCACTTAAATCTCCAACTTTATATGCTGTAAAGTTCCCTCTTTAGTTTTTAAAAGGTGGCTATAAATGAGATGTGCTTAACTCTCCCTCTCTACCACTAATTCTTTTATATCTTTGCTAGAGGATGGAGCCCCAATTTACACACAATGCTCTGAGCAGGATTTTATCAGGCCTGTTAGTCAGCATTTACTTTAAGACACAAGAAAGTTTAAAAATGCCCTCAGTGCCCATTATCACTTTCCCCATCAGTGGACTTTGTGGCTCTAACTGAAAAGAAAAAGGCTGGCCTACGCAAATGGAAATAAATCTGTCTCTGGCGCACAGAAGAGGAGTAACATGACATGACAGGGACACCGACAGTTTAGTTGGAGCTTTAATTTGGGCCTCAGAAAAACACATAGTAAATTAAAGAGTGACTTACTCGTTCTTGTCCAGCTGTATCCCAGATTAGGAATTTATGTAGCTCATTTTGGTACTGGACAGTCTTGGTCATAAAAGATGCCCTATAAAGAGAGACCTAAATGATCAGAATACAATTATTTAAAGCACGGTGCCAGCCCCAGTAGGAAACATCATTTAGACTAAATGCTCAAACTCCCGCTGCACACTCTATCCTAATTGTGGTCCTCTCTGGAGTATTTACAGGATGCTCAGACACTGGCTGCATATTCTGTGTCAAAATAAAGCACTAGGCACAACTGCCCAACACAAAGAAGAAGAGTTCTTTGGCTTGTGATTGCCTAAGCTCCATATCAAAAACACCAAGAGATAAATTTGTAATCTAGACATTAGCCTCCCTTGTAAAATACGGAGGCTGTTATTTAAAAAGATGGTATCATGGAAAAACTTTCTAAAAAAACTGTGTCCAGGAAATGCGTGCACTGGTAAAACACATTAGGCCATTTGGGTTTGTCCTCCCTCCATCTCCAAACCACGTAAATAGCCAATTAACAGCTAGCATTAACACTCGAGTTCATAAAATTAAGATGCCAAACAAGCAGCTGGAGAAGCAACGCCCCCGATGACCACCTCTGCATTTCAGTAACAAAACAGCCCCTTAGCTGACCTGACGGGCCTCATCAGACCTCAGGGTCTGACCCAGCCCTCGATGGGAAATGGAATGATGGTGCGCAGGTCATATTGCTCACTGTGAGGGACCACTTTGCCCAGCGGCCTTTGAAGGCAGGGGTTCCTATTACTTTGAGGGTCTCATACTACCTAGAGACTCCCTGAGGAGCCATGGTGGCCCACAGCACATGCCTAGACACTCTAGGGACTCCTGGACACACGGTTGGAAGTCGTGCCCTGGGGCTGGGCCCGACTCCAATACTATCTTCTACTTCCCATCTCACCCAGAGAGTTCCCTCCTGGGAAGTCCTGTGTGTCCAAGTCTCCTCAATGCATCCCAGTCTGGCTCGCAGAACCCAGAGATGATTATGTCTTCTTGTCTACTGGATAATAAGCCTTCTGCAGCCAAAGGCCAAGTTGTACACTTGGAATCATACCCTAATCATCCTAATCATGGCAATGAACTCAATGGCTAGGTGTTTTCAAATATGCTGGATGTCTGAAATATTTTTGAGATTCAAGTAATAGATACATAATCTTCAAGAAAGTGCAAGTTAGGGCCAGCCCCGTGGCTTAGCGGTTAAGTGCGCGCACTCCGCTGCTGGCGGCCCGGGTTCGGATTCCGGGTGCGCACCAACACATTGCTTCTCCGGCCATGCTGAGGCCGCGTCCCACATACAGCAACTAGAAGGATGTGCAGCTGTGACACACAACTATCTACTGGGGCTTTGGGGGAAAAAATAAATAAATAAAATTAAAAAAAAAAAAAAAAGAAAGTGCAAGTTGAAATCAACAGAATGACTTGTGGAATAATCACTGAGCTTAGATAAGTATCAGAATCCTTAGTTTTAAAAACTTAAACTTTGATACAATGAATTCGTGGCAATATTTATATAAATTTATGGTTTAGCAAGCAGCCTACAAAATATCAACTGTGATGAGGATGGGAAAGTGAGTTAGGAAGCAAGATTACAGTTATTGGATAGGTACTATTTATTGGATATTTATTTACTGAAAATTTATCCTTTAGTATCCTTAATAAAGTGGTTTATGAATAGAAGGTGTTGGATAAATGGTTATTGTATCAAGAATCTTTGGCGACTCACTATGATTAAATCAGGATGTGCAACTTGAGTTCTCACATAGGAAAGATCTAAGCATTCAAAAAGCCTTGTTTATTGTGAAGATTACATGATATGATGTATGTGAAAGTGCTTTGTAAATTGTAAAGTACTACATCTATACAAGGCAATATTATTATTTAAAGGCAGCACCAGGAAATACTTTAGTTTAGACTTTGAAATTAGTTCTAAAAGCTTGCAACTCAACTCTCGATCAATTATGGCTGTAGTGTTAGATTCAAGAGTGACAACAGGCATCCAATCAAGGCCTATTAAGAGAGTCAGTGCATCCCACACAACCATTTTGGCTGCTCAAAGAACAAGAGAAGAAAAATGCTTCAAGTAGACAAAAAGCTGAGAAAGGTATATGCAACAACTAAAAGGAAATGTTTCCTTCTAGGATCAGAATAACGTTCAACCTACTTGCCAACCATCTCCCCTTTAATGAAAGCATAGATTTGTTTCTCAGACCGAAGAAAGGCAAAATGGCAGCTATAATATAATGTAAGTATCTTAAAGGATTAAACCCAACTCCCTGTCTCTGACCCTAGACCATCCTGCCAGCTCTCCCCATCGTCACTCTCAGCACATCTCCTTCCTATCTACACTGAGGTCTTACTGCGCCCAGAGCTCTCTACTTGGGTCTATTGGCTTCTTGTCTTGTTACTGCCAGCATCACTCGCCCACGCTGCCAGTTCCTTAGGAACCGTGTCTGAACCACCCAGAAAAGCCCCAACCAAACAGCCTCTCCACCTGCTTCTTCTACTCAGTGATGGGGCGGCTGCCTTGCTGGAGGAAAGTCACAAAGCCATGTGGACCAGTGTGGAGACTATCCTATTTCGGTTGGGTCTACCTCTTAGGCCTCTCATTCCACACAGCAATTATTCCACATTCTTACAACTCCTTTCCAGCTCCCTGTCACTTCCTGCTACCTTCCTTTTGGGGGCAATAGCTTGTTTCAGCCTTCTCAGAGAAAATATAGCGGTTATAAGCCCTACCTCCCCAACATGCTCTGCAGTCAACCCTCCCAATTTGAGAAAAACAAATTTCCATTCACATCAGCTGTGATTTCTACTTTTCTGACTTTGGCCAAGTCAGAGATGTCTTTTCTTGGATTCACCCATCACCACTGCCCTGGATCGTGATCCCAGCACAGCCTGCCTGGGCCACTGCAGTCATCAAATTGGTCTCCTCCTACCAGTCTCAAATCTTTGCAATTGTTCCTGTTTCTGCCTTCACACTGACTGTTCCTTTTCCTGGAATGGTTTTCTCCTGGCTCTCCAATGGCTAGATGCTCCTCATTCTTTATGTCTTAGCTCAACTGCCAAAGAGCACAGAAACCTGTGCAGTCCACTCAAACCAGGCAGCTACTACCCCCAACTTCACTCTGCAATACACACATCATCCCATTTTGTCTTCAGGGCACCTACTACAATGTCTGATAAGCTTACTTATTTATTTTTTTAAATTCACCTGTTTAGTGTCTAACTCACCCATGAGAAATGCAAGCTCCATGAAGGTAGAGACCTTGCTTACTTCTTCCTATAATAAGGGTATCTTCATTATCTCCCTCCTCCTTGCTACCCCAGAATTCTGACAAAACATTTACCATGTTGCCATAAGCTACTTTGCTTTCTATTACTCCAATAGTTCCAGGGTGTTTTGGCCAAGCACTTCCCGAAGCATAAAGTGAGAAGTGCTTCTGAAGTGCAGGTAGAGTTGAGATTAGAGGCGACCCCAGCTCTTTAACTGGAGTCAGGTGTGTTAGAGGCGACCCCAGCTCTTTAACTGGAGTCAGGTGTGTGGCCTCCAGGGTGCTAGGGATGTGGTTCAACTAGAGCAGGGCTGACTACGCCCAGGGAAGTCCTTCCTGCCTGCTCCTGCTCAGCCACCATCTCTAACCACATGCTAGCCAACAGGCAAGAGGCAAAATCTGGGAATTGCAGCTAAGAATTACTGTGTCCCTCCATCACTCAGACTTCTGGAATTCTGCTAAGGAAGAAGTCGTGGCACTTTATAGACTCTCTCTGCTGCTGGCTCATGCTTTGAATAAGGAGCTCTTCCTCACCTCCAGGTCCCAGCAGTGGTGGCTACGGTGAGATGATCATACCTCCCTCATCTCTCCTCCCCTGAGCCCCATGATGCCTCCTGATTGCAACAGGCATCTCTGCTGACTTTTGAGAGTCTGAAATCTTGGCTTATCACACCTATAAGAATCATTTCCTCCTCTTCAGCATTTGGATTCAGTTAGTCTATGTAGTGGTAATAACTGGATTCAAGGCCAGACACAGGATGGGGCGTTGCCCATTGTCTCTCCCAAGTGGTCCCTACAGAGCTAGCCAGGGGGCAGAAGCCCTCCTGCATGACTCATTTGAATAAATCCCTCCCCATAGCTTCACATTTTTATCTGCTGAGGACAGCACTTTTCTAAATCTGATTGACTTTAGTTTAACTATACAATCTAGATACTACTTCATCATCTCACACTTAACATGAAGACAGGGCTTATTTCTACCCTACCCCCACCATAGTCCCAAATTTCAAGTTCTCGATCAGAACATCATGTCTGCCTTCCATTGAACAGAAGCTGGTCTGCAACTATTCTTTGTCCTTTGTTACTTGCATCCAGTTTTGTAGAACTGTCTGGTTCTTCATTTTATATTTACTCTACATTTGAACCTCGACCCCTGAAATAAATTCATCAATTGGACTCTCATCTTTGAGTGGGACTACTACAATTTTTCCCTCCCACAGTCACTTGAACTCGAACTCCAGGATCACTCCTTTAACGTTCAAGTTAAATGATGCGGAGGGTATGATAACTTCAATATTTTGCTTTTTGAAAAACAAGCAATGGCTTCCTGCCATCCAAATGATACATTTTTATTTTCCAGTCTGCCATTTACTTGTCTGATAATCTTATTTTTCACTACTAAACTCTCTCTCTTCACTCTGCCTAGGCAGATTTTACTACCTCTTTAATCTAACATCCCTAGCCACATTATTTCTTAAAGCTAGAACGCCTTCCATATACTTCTCCATGTCTCACAACATTCCACAAATATGACTTTCATGCACACCAAGTAGTCGTGATCTTTGGTCAGAGTAGGTGTTCCCAATGAAAATACTTGCTACAAGGTGTTTTAAAAGTTCTTTTCTTTAATTGCAGTAGACTTTTTTTAGCTCTCTCAGAACACAGGTATGCCCTGCCATCACATTCCAGTACCTCTCCTGACTGCAAGCCCTTTTCTTTCTTTTTTTTTTTTTTGTGAGGAAGATCAGCCCTGAACTAACATCCATGCCAATCCTCCTCT